ATTCCCTTTGTAAGGTCTTCATTTGCGCGTAGACAGTACGATGTAATAGCGCCCACTATTTATAATGCTGCACTCAAATCAAAAGTAATAGATAGGAAGACCTCAAACTACAAATTTAAATTCTCAATAATGAAATGGCTTAAAAAAATGACCTATGATGAAATAGAAACGCTGCTTCCAAAATAAAATAAAAAAAAAATACCTTCATTCGCCTTCCTCCCTTATTTCCCATATACTCAATACTTACGCTTGCATTCACCCCCCCAACAGTCTTTCTCTCTCTCACTCATCCACACGGGAGTGTGGATGAGTGACACACACACACACTCACTCACACACACACTCACTCACACACTCACTCACACACACACGCACACTCACAAACTCACAACACAATTCAACAAATATACAAACGCAAAAGCATAAATCTTTGTAATTTTTTATTTTTTTATTTTTAAACTGTGTTCTTATTTTTTTTTATAATAACTATCGTGTTCTTTTTGGCATATTATTGTTGAACTCATGGGTGAAGACACTGGCCCTTGTAATACAGTGTAAACTAGTTCAGGGTCAGGGAATTCTGCTTGTCTGTGTAATTTTTTTTTGTCAATAAAGAATTATTATTATTATTATTTGTTTGTTCTTTCCTTTCACGGGACCACAGGGTCCCGGACCTTTGGAAGGCGTACGAGGAGCCGAAGCCAACTCGCAGAGGCCCGTTGAACAGTTTTAATCTAAATGTGATGGGACATCAGCCGGCAATTATCCCTGTATGCACTATAAAAGTGCATCCAAGGACAATCCCCGGTTGATGCAGGACTATTGTAAAATGTGATAAAAATTGATAGGGTTATAGGTATAGGTTGCTATGGACTGGTGGATATGATAACTATGGAAACACTATGGCCCCTGCCCCTGACCAATATTGATACATACGGATAAACAGGCAGGGGGTGACTGGCAAACTCAATTAATGGGCCCCCGGAAACGGCCGCTAGCATGTAGCGACACGGGGGCAACATACGTTGAGCTGCTTGGGGAAGGAGAGGCATCCCACGGCTATCAGAGCAATCCCGGAAGTACGGTCAAGACCCCTACCAGCACCTTACTGAGATACATCCTTCCCCCGAGTCTCCTTCAACTCCTACTCTTGCGAATCTCCACTCAAGCCAGCCAATTAAGGCAAGAATGAGGTAGGAGGGCTTGTTCTTCATCAGTGTTCACTCCAGCTCGTCACGAGGACTAACTGGAGAGAGAAGAACAAGACACCTCCCGGGAGTCAGGTCCGTGGGGTCGCCACTGCCCAACAGCTCGCCACAAGCTGCCTTGCGGATTATTTATTATTATTATTAGTTATATATTTTTTTGTAATACTTGCGGCTGGGCTTTTACCTCCTGTTTCGCCTGGTGGTGGGCTATGATGCGACTTATGATGGAGCATGACACCGATAAGCAACCTACTCGGGATCTTAACACCCTAAGGGGAACACAGACTCCGGCAAGGAATTCCACTCCTTAGCGGTTCTGATGCTAAAACTGGACGCTTTTCGCTTCGTGCGTGGGGATGGAATATCCACCACGAAGCTGTTATGTGTTAAAGAAAGTGAATTTAGTTGTGCAGTTCCTGCAAACATTTTCCGAAATGTATTCGACAAAAAACCAACAGACTGGCTTTTGTTCGAGGTTTTGAAGTAAGGCCTCGTTGATAAGCCCCTTGGCATGCCTCTCAATATGTCCTTCTACATTAATCTCAATATAAAGAAATAACATTTGCAGGGAAAACATGTACTTTCCAGTTGATTTTCGCCATTATATTGTTAATAAGTCATTTTTGTCAGCAAAGAAACGCTTTCTGGCTATAAACACAGCGGTGGGTATGTGTACGTATATATGTACTTAAATGACAGAGTAAAAACGGCTTGTTTGATTTATTGGGGGAATGGTATTAGTAATTTTCAGCCGGGGTTGCGGGGCAAGCGCAATAAGCTACCGCGGACTCGGCAAAGAGTAGGAGAAGGAACGGGGGGTTTTTAGTCAGTAAGTGTCTGACTCTTGCCACAGCCTGGACTATAATTATTACATATTATTACATTTGATGTTTATAAGTTTTCCTTAACTTGCATCCTAGCTTCAGCGACGAATCTTTTTGACTTTTATATTTAGCAGTAATAAAAATGTTTTTGGCTTAGATTTTAACTACAACAGTTGAACTGTATCTATACAGGGATACACTTTTTAAATAAAAATATAAGCTTAAAGGGAAAATACTTAGAGATCGTTTCCTTTATTTTAACGACAAGATAAGTAGAAGGTATTGTACCCTCCATGTAGTTTCTCGCACATTTTGCGTCGAAAGCACACTCGTAGATACTAATGCTGTAGGCGATTATCTTCATACCGTTATGATAATGTTTGCATTATATAAAATAACAATATAGTTTTATATGTATCTGAACTCTGATTAGAACTTTTTCTTTGAGCCGGGGTCGCGGGGTAAGTGCAATGAAGCACCACATCCTCGGCCCAGAGCAGGAAACGGAGGGGTTTTTAGTCAGTAAGAGTCTGACACTCCCTCCCGCCCGACCCTGGGTGGGAGAAGTCATTTGATGATTTTCCCCTCACTAAAAAAATACTTTTTCTATGGAACAATTATGGAACTTGACATCTCATTTAGATTTCATTTTGATCAATATTGAACTTAATTCTTTGCAATTAAGTAACACTCAGAGTAATTTGCATTAACTCGTAGGTAAAATGACCTTAAAACACTGGTGTTGACGATATTGTTAACCACAAAGTTTTAAGGCAATTTTCAACTCGATTCAAATGTTGAGTTGAGTTATATCGATGAAAAAATCAGATTATTTTAAATCTAGTCAGAATTACCAATTCTATTTAAAATAGAAAAACCACGTCTTTTGCACTTCTCTCTCTTGTCTCTTTGAAAAAACACAGCCGAAGCTGTGGTGTATTTGAAAACTTTTCCAATCAAGGAAAAATTCTGAAAAAAAATCGTAGGCGGCTTACAGATATTGCAATTTTATCGAATCGAAGCTACGCTATAGGCGGCCATTTTGAACGTTCGTTTCATCTTCCGCCATCTTACAATTGGAGATCATTGAAAAGCCTGTACAACGTCATCAGCAGAATCATCAATCAATTTGTAAAGCCTTTCTCAAAATGAAAAGACGATAAGAACTGATTTTGTTTTTGTCATGGTCTGTTGTAAAGATACCTTTTTTCGCATTGTTCTCTCATATGAGTACAATTTATTAAATAATTTACCGATGAACATTTTAAATATTTTTAACAAAAATATACCGACTTCAAAAAATAAACTAAAGCGCAATAAATAAATTTTCTTCGTAAAAATTAATACATGTTTTCATTTAGTTAAATAGAAAATAATATTTATAACCATTTAATAATCTGATAAATGGCGGAGTAATCGGTGAACATACAAAAAAAAACATAAAAACATAATACCTCCTCTTTTTTTTGAAGTCGGTATAAAGAGTACTTATCGATGGAGTTTTCTTTTCGTTTTTCTTCGTTCGAATCATTACTTTGGAAAGAGCACCTAGCTTCATTGACAAGCTGACTGATAGATTACTATTGTATTTTGACATTTCAAGTGTACTTATTTAAGGTTTAGTTGGAATAAATGATTTTGACTTTGACTTTCACTTTGTTGTACCATCAATTTGGTTATAAGAACATTTTTTTTTGTTAATTAGCATCAGATACGACTCTATAAATACTCGTTATTAAAAGTTTTCATTATTTTATTTCAAATAACTTTCTTTTGTGTAACTTTCATTGTTATATATAGGGTGGCTCTAATTAGCACGTGATAGCACTAATGATAACAAACTTTCAACATTCTTAAAGAAATTTATTTTCTCGACTTTTATATTTAAATAGTAAATTGCTTGTAAGGCTATTTACTATTTAAGGTTTAAAGTGCCTTGAAGTACTTCAGTAAAAACATGCTTTAATTGAATATACATAGAGGTGAGTTCCGCTGGCATTACGATCGGTCATAGGGTGTTTTAGTAATAGAATCATCAAATGAAACATTTATTAAATAACAAACAGTTTCAGAACAATATTTCAACAATAATATTAAGTACAAATGCAACGGTAATTTAATTCAGAACTCATCATAATAGTGCGCACAATAGTGCGATACAACGCTTCGATAGGATGACGTCTCCATCATCCAAAGAGCTTCACCATATCTCCACTATTTGTAAGGAGGTTCAAAAGTATTTTATTAATCGTCATTTTTATCCCGACTGGCAATAACAGCGCAGTCAAATATGTTAAAAAAAACAACACCCCTTATTGTTTACTGTTTTGTGACGTCATATTACACTAGTATACGTCATGACTATCAGCGTATAAAGACCCAACGCTCCCCCGTATTAGTGCGTGTATGATACTTGTTTATGTGTACTTCGAAGGGTAATCTACTACAACTACTACTATAATAGTGGGTAAAGTATCATCGTCGTCGTTAGGAACGATATTAGATATTCCTGTGGATACACAGTACTTAAACAAGGGCTTGGTTATTGTAATAAAGTTGTGTTTCCCTTAAACGAGTTGCACTGTGTTTAGTAGTAGAGTTCTTTCTTGTACGTACTAGTTTTGTTGCTAAGTTGTTTGTGTGTGTCGTTTATATTATTTGGACTGGAGAAAATCATGTTATTAATTTAAATCATAATTTATTTTAATTCAACCAAAAAATTAAATATTTGATACACACATTTCATATCGTATATCGTAATTATTTTTCCGGAAATTAATATTCGGAAGTATATTATTAATAATGTCGTGTGTGAAGTTTGGGTGAGCCAAGCTTCGGTAACGAATGGGTCGGCTCGACCCGAGTGATAGCACGACTTTACAGAAAACTGGTGTGAAACAACCACAGTGTTGTATTTCGTCGTGTGAGTGGGGTTAGTGGGCCCAATCCTTCCCCTCTCCACACGTATTTCCGCTGGTGTTGCGGGTGTCCATGGGCGCATACCATCAGATAATCCGTTTGTACGTTGACCGATCTATCAGATAAAAAAATACTCTAAGACGTTATATGTATATCTACTGTTACAAAAACTCTCTACGTCAAATTGGTTTATCACTATAGACTCATTTTTCTCCGCATATTTTAGTACGCCAGTACACGAACCCCAATTCAGATTCTACGCCATTACTGAGAATAGGCGGCGATATCGAAAAATCCTAATAACGCTTTCCCTGTAAACGATTCCAGCTATCGGAACCACATCGACGGTATTACCCCAATTATAAAAGAAGCGATAGGCAATCGCGTTTCCCTTCTATTATAATAATTATTAAGCAAATCGACATCACGAAAAAATTCCTACTAATTAGAAATAAGTTTTTATTTTTCTTTTATCATTATACTCAAAAGAATTCGGACATTTTATTTTTAATTAAAGATAATTTTAATATCGGAGAATCGCTCCGTTTGTGCTCATTAAAAATTAATGTCATTTTTTTATAAAATTTGTATAGATAGGTAGTTACATTTTTATTTTACTTTGATAGTATTAAACAACTTATAAGTTCGGTAGACTCACAAACATTATATTAATACAAATAGTAAGAAATCATTAACATTTTGTCGCATTCGTTGCTTGGTTATATAAACCTTGTGATTGAACAAAACTTCAAATAGGTACTGAAACTATTTTCAACCACCGGAATATAAACTCCGGACCAAAAATTTGTTTAGATAAATAATTCTAAAAGTATTACATCAAAACCACCGCTTATGAACAGCTGTAATTCCGTCCATTTTTGCGGTTTTGTTAATGTTCGACGCTTTCAGTCCCGCACGCGTTGCGTGTTCTTTACCATTAAAAACGTATTAAAATTATTATTTGCTCAGAATTGTGACTCAGACTTCAATTCCAACGAATTATATAATAATAAAGGTGTTAACTTTATATTTGATACATAAGCGTATTTAGTGAGAAACGCGAGAAACCCTTTAGTTTTGTTTTGCCATTTGACCTATAAAACTTAAACAGGTTATATGAATCATAATCAACTTTAAATCGGCATTATTATGCCATGTATATTCAACATTAAGTTCAAAGTTTGTTGGTTGGTCCAGTTTAGTGTTATTACAAATGCTGGTAGTAGAATAATGGAATAATACACTTATAGTTTAATATTACACAACATATTCTGATTTCGATGACGGTGAAATAAATTAATATTATTAAGATGACATTCAAAGATGTTATAGTTATATCTTTCACACAACCTTTAGGTGAAGAAAGCGGTCATAATAAAATTAATAAGACTATTTTTTATAGCTCTGTCCAATTATTACGAGAAACAATGACAAGCCTTTTATCCTTGAGAAAGTTCTTACATGTCAGGCGGAGTTGCGAGCGCCATAATAGACCGTGTCCCCCCGGCCTGGTGCAGTTGAAGACACAGGGTGGTTTTTGCCGGGGTTGCGGGGTAAGTGCAATGAGGCACCGCGACCTTGGCCCAGAGCAGGGGATGGAACAGGGAGGTTTTTAGTCAGTAAGAGTCTGACACTCCTGGGCGGGAGAAGTCGTTTGATAATATTTCCCTCACAAAAAAGGGTGGTTTTTAACCAGTAAAATTCCGACAGTCCCACCTCTCTCTCACCCAGATCGAGAGGAATTTGATCTCTAGTCCATCTGGCCCATTCGTGCCAAGGAATGGTTAGTTAAGGGAAAGTTATGACAATCTTACGGGATTTAAATAAAGGACGTCGATTTGGATAGTGACTGAATGAGTTCCACGCATTAGTAGGTGATACTATAGCATTAGCTACTTTGCTTGCCCTCACATAATGTGCAATAATGCGTATTTAACAAAGTATTGGTGTAAAATATACTTATACCTTTGAAATTGAGTTACAATAGTTCTAACTAACTAACTTTAATTTTCTTATTCTTTTCTCTTCGAATCTACACTTTGGAACGAATACCTAGCTTCAGAATTACCTGTACATACATAGTTAAGTTGTAATGAATGTTTTGGACTTTGACTAACGTATGCGCAACCTTACTTGTAATTAAGTACTTGATTATTGATTCCAATAGACAATGATTCTGACATATTCCCATCTTTTAATCTCGATCTACAAAATATGCAGTTCTAAAGAGAATAATCGCACAAGATCCAAAACTAGGCCTCCATCAAGCCTTTGATTAGTGATGGACGAAGTTCAGTCATTTCCCATCAAAGCAGTGAGCGGAGTCGCTGATTACGGACCTACATTAAGATTATTACACAAGTTTCTAACTACGAGTTCCTATGTATACTATGTATATAATTCTCGGTTTGTTTTGATCCTAAATGCGTTCTATGTCATATATTTTAAGAAGATTTTGACTGGTCGTTATTATGTTTATTATTTACGAATATTTACTAAAATATATGAAATATTTTTTAAGAAAGCCACGTTCTATTATTAGTATATGTTTTATTAAGTATTACGCTTGTTTTTTTTTCAGTAAGGCTGACAAAGGTATGTTCTAAGTACTTTAATAGATTTATTTCAATATTGCAGATTCAGCGTACGTTTCGACCATCATCACGCACAATCTTTTATAAATATACGAAAAATAATTCAAATTTCAGAATTAAGCCTATAGGTTGTCTATAAAACTACTTAAAAGATGCCACATTAATTTCAACACAAAATTATATTTAAATACCATATTCACCTAAATATCTACATCATAGCATATTATTTAGCATCACTTCACATATGGAAATTGCTTTTTTTACGTACAGAATCGCTGTGACAGCAATTTTGAAGTTATCAATCAATATGTCAAAGAAATTCTGTATACGGAGGCATTTTTTTTCTGTTTGATGTTTTTAAGTTGTCATTAAATTGAGATTATTAATTAAACATTTTGGAAACGGTAATAATGATTGCACAGTAGGTTTAAAGCCGGCTGCTGCCCATGTGGTCGCGAATTCTCGCACGGAACAACTCTTTGTGTGACTTACAAATTGTTGTACTTGATTTGTGTGTTATTTCCATTTATAAGCAGCGCCATCTAGTGGTCAATGGTAGCGTTATGCAAAACCTGTCAGTCAATAGTCGACCTTAAGCTATCCATGCATTTTTGTCACCATTAGTACATAATTTAGAATTGGGTAGTTTCCTAGGTCAAAAATAAATTAATTGGATGTTTCAATACAATAAAATATTGAGAAACAACTACTTATACTTTTATTCATCGATCGATTGACACACCAAGTTTTAGATTTTTCTAGTTAATTATTGTAAAATAAGTAAGCTATTTGACGCAAAAATATTATGACGTCATAGCTCAGTTTTTCATACAAAATTCATAGAAAAGTATCGTTTTTGACGTTTGTATAAAAGTATTGAATTTGACTAGTTGGAAACTACCGTATTGTAAACAGGAGAAAATTCTAGTTTCCGTTTCCGTTGTTATACCTATAACATTTCATGGTGGCCTGGAGTTTAAGGCACCCGCTTTTTATTGCATTGTGTGATACTTACATATTTTTCTTTTGATTTTAAGAACAACAGTAGCAGCTTAAAAACCCAAAATTTCGATTCAAATAAAACGGCTTATTCGTATTCCTACAAAAAATAGTTTAGTCTATCAGCTGTCCTGTAAAGTGGCCTGACGTCTGAATAACACCGAAAGACAATAAACACACAGTCATTCCAATTTGACTTTTTGTTCTAAAAGTAATCTTGTACTTTTGTACTATAAAATCAGTATTATCCAAGTGCGCAATACAAAAATAAAAGGTTTTTGCTTAAGTTAACGTTATCTGTACTCAGTAATAAGAATAAAAATTAATTAAAAATTAATTAAACATTTGTACTGTTAAGCAAAATGTCCTACAATTGCGAAGCTTACGAATAGCTGGATTGATTTGGATAAATGTTGTAAAAATTTCAATATTAGATATGGTGGTAAGTCATGTCATGTGGTTTTAAGGTAAGGCAATGTTTGCATATTCCATTAATTAATAAATGTGTATGTACAGAAATCGATTTTATTTACTTGGAAAATCTGACTTGCTGACTAAAAACGACTCCGTCCCTTCTCCTGCTCCAAGCCAAAGCTGCAATACCTCATGGCGCTTGGCCCGTAGCCCCGGTTTAAACAGATGTTCAGAGCTTATCTATTTCGTTGAATCTATACACAGATTTTAGAAAACCATTTCCATTTCCATTTCCTAGAAATGAAATTAAATAGTCAAGCCATTATTTTCTGGGAAGTGATCGGCGGCGGTGACCTCTCGCGCCCGACCTTAATCGAGGCCATGGTTCATAGCGAGAGGAACTGGGAAGCTATCTCCTCCTTCTGCGAAGCAGTTATGCTCGCAAAGGAGGAGGCGGAGCGCGCGAGGGAACTATCCTCCTCGCGCCCCAGTCGCCGCAGTAGGCGACATTCCGGGCGTCGGGGATCGAGAGATGATCTCCGGCCACCGTAAGCGCGGGTCTGCGGACGGCGAGTAAGGGTAGCTCGCCGCCCGACCAGAACCAGACCCGAGCGTACGGCGCGTAGTGTTCCGCGCGCGCCTCAAAGAGCCAATAGACCACCACAGACGGGGCCCCATAGGGCTGATGTTCAGCCGGGGTTGCGGGGTAAGCGCAATTAGGCACCGCGACCTCGGCCCAGAGCAGGAGAAGGAACAGGGGGGTGTTTAGTCAGTAAGAGACTGAAACTAGGGGGGCGGGTGAAGTCATTTGATGTTTTTCCCCTCGCAAAAAAAGCCATTATTTTCTAGAAAGCGCGTATTACGCATTTTGGCCACTGTATTAACAAAAACTACACATCACATCATAACATCACAGCCTATAAACAAAGGCCACATACACTTCTCAAACGAGTAAGGTTTGAGCATTAATTTATTGATTGGCGATATTTCATTGGCTTTTGGATTTATTTGATTGGCGATATCTCGCGATCATCGATCGATCAAAATTTATAATTAGAA